TATTATTATTGTTATAATATTTGATGATCTAAATTCATGCTTCGAATATTTTTGACTTTATATCGTAAGCGTGGACAAATTCCTCTGGTTACTTTTGTTTTAAATTTTCAATTTTATTTATATTTTAAGTAAATTAGATGCAAGGTGTTGTGACAAATGCTGAGAATTCCACTCTGTATTATAAGTACTGTTTGTCTTGGAATAAAGTAGATTATTATTTCTATCAATCCCTAGTTTGAATAATGGATAGTAGATCAGTAAAGTATTGCTTGATATTAGTAATATTAATAAGGTATAAGCTTGGTCTGAATGCAGCAATAGAGAGTATTAGCAAAAAATTACGTTACTTCAAAGAGCTTCACAGGTTCATAACTTGATGTGCCGAATAAAATAAAAGTATACTATCTGACAGTAATTTTTCGGATACTTTGTCAGTGTCCTCTCAGAGACGACCGATAAATTACCCCGCATGTTATTGTATAAAAGACTGATGGTACATATAAGGTGATTTTTCACTCTATGGTGAAGCGAAGAACAGGGGTTTAGTGTATGTGAGTAGGAAGCGGTTGAGAAGTTGTTCTATCATCTTAATACATAATCTATTCCCACTATCTCATCTTTTCAACATAATTTTACTCCAAAATCATGGATACACACGGATATGGATATTTTTTTGGAAGGTCTTTTATTAACGACTACACAACGTTAAATCTTCTTAAGTGCATGGAGGATTTCGTCATGAGCTGACATAAGTTAGAGAACCACTGGAAAACCTGGGAGTACTGGACAGCTGTTTCGTCAGCCCACTTTGGGACTCTTCATCAGTACGCACCCACCGCGACGGTTCGAACCCAGGACCTTCTGGTTACAAGGCCAGCAAGCTCGTAGACCATTGAACCACTGAGACCCTATCCAATGGCCAGTGCATGAATTCTAACTTCTGCCAATTCACGACATAGTGCGACCATTTCGCAATTTCTTCTTCGATGAGTTACTGCCTCATCTTCTTCAACCTGCCGTACCCTACTGGTCACGGCTTCCCACTAGAACCCTAGGTTAACTGCCTGAATAGAGCCAGTCACTAGTGAGCATCAGATTAGCTTTCAAGTATTGGAAATTGGCTGTCCAGTACTCACTCCTAGTTGGTTTCCCAATGGTTCTCTGACCGATATCAATTCATGATGAAATCCTAGTTTGGTACTCCCAGCTAGTTTTCCAGTGGTTCTCTAACTGAAGTCAGCTCATGACGAAATCCTCCATGCGATCAAACAAAATCCCTACAAAACCAATACTTGGAAATCTTCTTAATGACAATAGCTTCATGAAATATAAATGGGTACACAGAAATCAAACATTATGATGGAATCATTACTGGGACATTATGGATAAGATTTTATTTCGATAAATCACACAGTGTTGTACAGTTATATTAACTGATGATGTTTCGAGCACAAACTATTCCTCATAATCATATCAAGTAACTCACACAACTTCTTTCTTTCATTTATATACATTGGTGGAATCGATTAGATATTGGATTTAAAATCAATATGAGATAATATCCATTCAGAAATAATAATAGTAGTAAGAGTGTTATTGAACCATTGCAATTAGGTGGGAAATATGACTGTTTTTTTATAGTCATAATTAGTTACTCGTTAGAATGTTTTGATGTGTTTGAAGTGAAATAGAATTTGAAGATTATTTACTATCCTCTTCTGATTTGACTGGTGGCATTTAAACCTACAAACTCACTCAGAGACAAGCCCTGTAGGCTAAAAGACTCAGTGGACCCAATTAGACAAAATAACATAATTTACAAAATACCCTGCAACGATTGTGAGGTCAACTACATAGGTCAAACTAGTACGTCAGAGATAGTCAGATTATCAGAACATAAGAATTTAGCTAAGGTAAGAATGGTCGACCCTGAAGAGATAAGTAATTTATAAAAGCTCAGCTATTGCACTTCACGCAATAACAAATAACCACAAAATAGGGTGGGATAGGGTTAAAATTCTAAAAAGTAATAGAGGTAGGTGGAGAGAGGTTGATTACGGAATCCTTATTCATCGAATGTACACCCAACACATGCAACAGAAATAACTCAATGCGAATACCAGAAATATGGAAGATGTTATTACCTCAAGTCAAATCAGAAGAGGATAGTAAATAATCTTCAAATTCTATTTCACTTCAAACACATCAAAACATTCTAACAAGTAACTTATTATGACTATAAAAAAAACACTCGTATAAACAGTCGTATTTCCCACCTAATTGCAATGGTTCAATAACACTCTTACTACTATTATTATTTCTGAATGGATATTATCTCATATTGATTTTAAATCCAATATCTAATCGATTCCACCAATGTATATAAATGAAAGAAAGAAGTTGTGTGAGTTACTTGATATGATTATGAGGAATAGTTTGTGCTCGAAACATCATCAGTTAATATAACTGTACAACACTGTGTGATTTATCGAAATAAAATCTTATCCATAATGGACTTATACTCTACCACAGTGCTCAAGTTCTATACTTATATCAATTATTGGGACAGTTTTAAGTTAGATTACTTGGTTATGGTGTACGCGCATATCATCAAGATGGTTTCAGTTTTATCGACTTATAAGTAAGTTAGTAGGAACGTACACAAATGCATTGCGTATGTATGACTGAGTTTCAGCGTAGAACTCTGTACAGAAGTGCACCAGTCCAAGATGCCACATTCCATGTACCACACGAAGGTAGACAACAAAAGCACAATAAACATAAATGTCAGGGAGAAAGAATAGTAACATTGCACCATTGAACTATTTCACCAAAAGTCTTGAGCGAGCTACTGGTTCTTAACATCCTGATAACACCCTAATTAGGTAGTCTACAAACCTAAATTCAAAGATTTCATGAACTGATGACAGATTTTGATTTGACCATTCTCCTAATCCCTTTTTTTTCAACAACTTATTCAAGTGATGGCTAACATTGTTTACTGAGGAATGCAATGGCTTGAGATGCGACGATAACAACAGCAACACATGTCCTAATAATTTCAATCGATGTAGCTCCACAATGTGATAGATTAGCCTTACCCTGGTGATCAAAGACGGCTATTTGGTTGTTTCGGATTGTGGGGGCGATTGTTAGTTCCTGGCTGCCTACACCGTGGAAGTTGGTTGCGTGACCGCAGAACCCAGGGGACAACTGCTTGAGGCCAGTCAAGCGCGGCCTGTTCTTGTTTGTTCTTTTTTATTTGGTGTGTCGCAGAAGGATATTTATCATTTCTGCCCTGTGACACGGCAGTAGGAAGCGCGGTCGTTGTTAATCCGGGCCCCGACCGATCCGGCATGATATTTTGTGATTTTGTTTGAGTTATAGCATAGGATTGAGTAGTTGCTTTTTGTCTAACCGCTATCCAAACAACCTTTCTGGCATGATAGGACCTGAAACATGGCCAATATGAGTTGAAGACATGAAAAAGTTGACTGCTTTCGATCATAGATATCTACGGTTTCTTTTTCACGTTAGGCGTAGAGTGTTGGGCAAACAGGGAAAATCAATTGACGAGGCTATAAAGTTACATAGATTGAGATGGCTAGGTGACGTGCTGCGCATGCCTAACCATCGCCTCCCTCCCCCCGACGGGCATTACTAGCTGATATAGGTGGTGCAGGTTGGAAAAGAGTAAGTGGTGACCAAACAAAAACACATGGCATCAATTCATGAAATCCTCCTTGACAGTCAAACTGAGTCGGTCAGGTAGGGAGATGCAGGCTTCCGGGTTGGGGGCCTCGGGGCTGACTCTAGGAATCAATGGCTGGAGACAATAGGTGCTGACATGGCTCAAAATCGTTGTCAATGGCCAGCTCAGATGTATTCAGTCTCTGTAATCTTTCATATTCCTTTCTACTACATTACCCATTCTGTTTCACTCTTATACTTGTCAAACTCTATTGATTCTCTTCACTCATCTTCTTGTCTACCTTTGTGTGCTATTTGGAACGTGGCAACTCGAACTCCTGGACACTTCGGTGCCAAGTTCTATGTTGAATCCAGACAGAAAGACGGCTAGTGTATGCACATTATACACCACAGATCAACTAATTCCTGCAAACATACACACAAAAAAAAACAATAATGAAACAATCAAGACAAAGATGTTTCATTTCACAGTGACTATCTGCAAAACGTAAATTAGTCGTAGGAGTAGGGCATATCATCCATCTATCAGCAATTTGCATAATGTAAAATTTAATCAATAAAAAGGAACTTTACAGAGATTTATTGATTTGACAGTGAGCGAGAGAGAGAGAGAGACGTAGGGATGGAGGCGTATAGAATTACCACCACCGTTGAACATGTAAACAACGCGGTCGTCTGTGTGTGTGTGCGCGCGCGTATGTGAACACTACTCAGTCACAAGACAAAGAAATTATAGAAAAGCAAGTATTTTTTTAATAGGAGAAAAATAAGGAAAATGTTGAAAAAAAACAAACATACAATTTCATTTTTCCATTGAAATTATGATACAAGTCAGAGGAGAGAGAAAAGAAAAAGAATACAGACAATTCATCAGTAAGCAGAGCAAGAGAGAGAGAGACAGAATAAGAGTTGTGTGTAATTTAAAATTAAAGGAGAGGAAAGAGACGACAGCAACAATGTACAACATAGTGATCAATTGAGATCGAGCATTTCATCATCGTTAGCATCATTACCTACGAATATCATTGAAAGTAAAATTTGATTGTACACTACCACCTCCAGTGCCAGCTTTAATTTCAGCGATAGCATCATCTACAAGATTTAAACGTTCACGTAGTTTTCTTAACCGTTGTTCTGCAGCAAAACTTCCAGTATCTGATTCAAATGGTTCTGATCTGTCAATCTGTCCACCAGGTCCTCGACTACGATGACGACTGCGTGCACGTTTAGCAGCAAAATTATCACCAGTAGTGCCTTCTATCAAATCTCCAGTATCAATAATTGGCTTTTCAATAGTACTAATATCTGGTATATCATAATTCACTCTACGATATTGTTCACGATCAAGACGTAGAATTTTAGGCAGTATATCAATATCTCCATGCGGTGAACGTCGATTGAAATCAATCATATCTAAACCATGCGGTGTTCTTGGTCTAACAATTCTTTCTTTGATTTGACCAGCACCAACACGACGTGTTTCAGCGTTAATATTTCTACTATGTGGTTCATCGATAAAGGCGTTTGGATAACGGGTACTAGATATGCGTGGATCTCTTTCTAAGCGTTCACGTACCGGTAGTTCATCATAACCTGGGGGAAGAAAAAAGTTTGATAAATGTAAGGAGTTACAAGCGCTCAGGAATACTTCTTTTCGATCCTAATTTTTATCAAATCACTTGAGGTAGGAGGTGTATCTTCTATGACTATACTGATGCTCAGTTACGTAACAGATGGCATCTCAATACTCATTGAATTCTCAACTTGAAACTTTGGACAGAAGTGCGCCACTTCAAGTTGCCACACTTCATGCAGCATACAAGTGCGTGCGTCTGTGGTTCAGAGATAGGCTACTCACTCGCCGGTCATACATGTGGTCCGGGGTTCGATTCCCGGCCAGTGCACACATTTACCTGTTCTAGCAGGTTTTAAGGCCAACAAAGAGAGGAAGGTAAGGCGTGAAACTAGCAAGCTTGAAGCCATATATTCCACTGTGGATGCAAATGAATTTCTAAGAAAAATGTAGCATACAAAGGCAGAAATAAAACAACTATAATGGGCATGAATGTACAGACAAAAGAATAAGTACACCGAGAATCATGACGATTTAATGAATTTGAGATAATACAAAGAGTGAATGCATCTGCGCACCATTGAAAACGGTTTCGACCCATATCTCACCTACAATCTCAAACCATTGATTCCTAACGCCTAGATGATGCCGACCAGTGAGCCTATATCACTCTAGGTGGCTTTTATCAATCTAATCCTATTTTAGCTCACACATCGTTGCTGGACGAAGAAGACAGTTGTAACACATGTCTTAGCTTCACCACCTCATTGACTGGCTTGCCCTCCTCACCTAGCACTCCACGTCTAACCTTAATATTACTGGCCATTGTATACCATCAAGAACAGCTAGTCCCTTCATACCTTTCACTTTCAATGGCCACAAACAAGTACAGAGAGAACTGCCGCACAGTACAAACGTCTTAAGATCAATAGACCGCTGTATCACGTGTATGCCAGAAATGACGTAGGTTGGTAAATGCCACAAGTGCCTAATGTATTCAAGCTGAGATTCTGTGAAATATCAGTCGAATAGGGCTGATAGCAATTTCCAAATAAGTGAAGTAGTCAACATGCTCTAAAACTTCACTCCCTAAACCTTAAACCGGTGGTTGGTGCTGACCAGTAGTCATCCACTATCATCTTACACTTGACAAGGTAGAATCACGCGCCAAACATACTAAGATTCGTGATCAAGAGGTGTTCAGAAGACTTTGTATTTCGTCACGATTTTCATCCAAAAGGAGCAGTAGTATATCATCTGCATTCTCTAATTCGACAAGACAATAACCCTGATAACACGTCAATCTCTCTAAGTTGGTTAAAGTCACATCCATTATTGCATCTATGATGAAATCAAGCAAAAAAAATAGGGACATTTAAAAGTGTTGATTTGCATGAATTTCACTGGTTACAGGATTTCATCATTAACTGACATCGGTCAGAGAACCATTGGAAAACCAACTGAAAGTACTGAACAGCTGTTTCGTCCGCCTAGTTTGGGACACTTCAGTATTACGCACCCATCAGGATTCGAACCCAGGACCTTCTGGTTACAGTGGGCCTCCTAGATGAACACAACTGTTTGTTATCGTTTCAGATAGCAACTCTCCATTACTGATATTCCTTCTCTCATGGAATCATATAATTAATTGATAACCTTGTACACATTCTGTGAATGTAGTCAAGACCACGAAAATTGCTTACTGATAATGACAAAAAAGTGTATTCAATTCGATAAAGCAAAGAAAAATCGACTTAGTTTTTTTGGCGTGGCTATCGACAATATAGCCGGTACTTTGCTTTAATGGAAGTTCCGATCCACGAACTTCAACACTAGTGTCAAGTCAGTCAAGACTTCTATTACTAGTTCAAAGACTTGTTGCGTGTGTCCCCAAAAGAATTTCCAACAAGCAGCTACTGGAGACTGTCACCAACAGCCACGCCTTCGACAGATACTGGACATTAAATGGCTGGTTAAAAGGAAAATAGGCAATAAACAACACTCCGGGAACGAACCAACCAAGAATCAATTGCCTAGCAAATGTATCGAAGAAAACAGAGATGGATTCGACAAATTTAGAGAAGACACATCACACGAGACCTCAGAGTGGAATCCGACAAGTTGTTGGGGGTCACAATGGTGATATGGGAAAGATATTGTGAGGAGGAAAAAAAAGAAGGCTTACTGCCAAATTGTAAAGTCACCATAAAGGCATCTCGCAGAGAACAAGATAAAATATAGAGAGGTGTGCTGCTGGAACCCCGTGCCCCACTAGGAACCCAAAAAGAGTAATAATACAAGATTAATTTTAAAAAAGAAACTAACCGGAAGGATATGGCCGTTTAAGCGATTGTGTTGTGTCATGACCGAATTGATCTATTCCACGCATTCTATGAGCAGTACGCTCATTGAAATCTGATTGTTTTGCATGACGACCATAGTCTATAGGTTCACGAGAATCAATACTATTCACAACTGCTCCAGCAGACCGACCTACATGTCGACGTGTTGAATTTTCATCAATTTCTTTAAGACTTTGACGTTGAGCTGCTGCTGCTGCTGCTTCTTGACGTGTACGCTTACGAGCAACATTTGAACGAACTTCTTGATCTTGTCTAGATGGAATATGACGACCCATTGGAGGCGAACTATGCCGAACTCCAATAGGTTTACCTGATTCAGAATGCGAACGACCTCCAGATGGTGATCTAGAAGAATGTGATAGATTAGAGCTACCAGATGCTCCAGACGAGGCAGAAAATGACTGCCGTCTGTAAGTTGGTCGACCAAGCAAAGGGATATTCTTCAAGTCAGTTCGTTTATGTCGACGTGATCGTTGGCGTTTGTTGACTGCCGCTTCAGCCGCTGCTCTTCGTCTTTCACGGACTTCCAGTGCTGCAGCTGCAGCTTCTGCTTGTAAACGAACTTGTGTTTGTGTCAATGGCATTGTAATATTATTGGTGGTGCCAACTGTAGACGGATGATTAGGATCGATAGGTGAGGTGTGTCGGTGTAATACAGGAACACCAAGATGTCGAACTTGTCGTGGTGGGGATGCCGGTTGCTGAGGTGGTGGACGATTTGTAGTGGAGCGATTAGGTGCTGCACTTGCCAACGAACTGATACCAACAGGTGCTGGCTGAAAATTCACATTATGGAAAATGGAAAGATTACCGTCATCATCATCATCACATGAAAGAAAAACACACATGGGTGTATACTTGAAAATAATGCAGATGAATACAATTCAAAAATTGAAATGCACCTAGTTCAATACAATCTTAGAGAAGAAGTACTAGTGTGATGTGTGTTACTCTACTGATAAGAATCAGTAAGTTGTATATTGGCAACGCCTTCTGCAAGAATCTTTTGTCTGTCACTGGTACTGATGACTGTCAGATTCTCTAACCAGTTCGTTCGTGTTTCAAAGGTGGAGTAGCATATTCACTAACTGCAGGCATTCCATAATCCGGGAAGCTACTAGCAGTTTCGCAATCTGACTCTCCGCTTAAAAGGTTGATAACACACGTTGCAGAGAATATTTGTCAGTATTATTGTTAACACCTGTGAATTTTCAATGTGCACTAAAGCCACAGGCCTTTAAATCTCTGCGAAGAATCCTCTTAGATATATATGATGGAGAAGATTTGCAGCTCAGGTGGATGATTTTAATGTGGTTGTGTTCTCTGAGCTAGCTGGATGGTTAATTTGCGAAACTTTCATTGCCCCACCACTAGGCGACATCTTCAGTGCATACTTCAATTTGATGATGAAGTGAGCTTTTAGATTTCTCCACGAGTTTATTAATCATCTCTCCTGGTGGGGGTGACTTTCAACGTTGTGATTGGTTGTTTTTTGTGTGTTTTCACACCTTCTAGCCTGCAAGGTGCATTCGAACTGATTGTTTGTTTGACTTGAACTTTGACCCTTTGTGTGTGAAGTTTCTTTCTTATCGGTTGATAAATTTTGTCTATCTCTATGTGTGTATAGATGGATGACTCACTGGAATACCAGTCAGGCTTCTAAAAATTCTCTAGCATTCTTGTTGTTTCTTTTGTCTAATATTTGAACACTGGTTGTCCCAGTCGAATTGATGTCCTTGGTTTTATCTTCTTTCCAACCAACATCATCTACAAAATAACTTGCAACGACTGCGAAAAACACTACATTGGCTAAAGTGGACATCCCCTTCGTCTTCGTATTCACGAACATAAGCTAGCCGTCAAAAGACACTATATCCACTCCCTCATATCACTACATAGAGACAACCACGGACATCAATTCGACTGGGACAACGTTCAAATACTCCACAGAAGAAATACCAAGAATGCAAGAGAATTTTTTGAAGCCTGACTGGTATTCCACTGAATCTGAAATTAATGATATACACATCAAGAAACACAAAGGGTTAAAGTTCAAGTCAAACAAACAATCAGTTCGAATGCACCTTGCAGGCTAGAAGGTGTGAAAACACAAAAAACAACCAATCACAACGTTGAAAGTCACCCACCACGAGAGATGATTAATAAACTCGTGGAGAAATCTAAAAGCTCACTTCATCATCAAATTGAAGTATGCACTGAAGATGTCGCCTAGTGGTGGGGCAATGAAAGCTTCGCAAATTAACCATCCAGCTAGCTCAGAGAACACAACCACATCAAAAGAATCCTCTTAGTTTAAATCTGCAACCAGACACTGAGAAAATGGATACTCTGACAGTTTCATCGAAAATGTTTGAACACAGTGGCAAATGATGTCAATTTTTTCACTGCGGCAGGGGAAGTTTGTCAGCCGTCCATGTCCAACCTGCCGTATTTTCAGGCTAGGCGAGTTTCAGAAATGGTGCGTCAGCCGGGAATCAAACCCTCGGATCACACAAATAGTTGAACCACACCAATGTACAAAATATGAAAGTAGAGAGGAACAAAGTATATTTTTGAAAAAAAGTATTTACCTTTATACGTGGTGCTAAAGTTAAACGAACACCTGGTCGATTTGTTGGAAGTTCACCCGCACCTGCACCACCCCCTCCAGTCGGTTGAATAGACGAGGTAATTTCATTTGTACCAGTATTAATAGTAGTTGCTGTTTTAGGATATAATTCTGGTTCAATATGTTCTACAGTATGCAAATTTCGATCATTTGAAACAGGTGGCCAATTATTATTAGTAGTATTAGTAATAGTATTAGCATTTGCAGTATTCGTAACAGCTGATAGACCAATTGCATCATCTGCAAATGGACTACGACTTTTCTTTCTACGTAATGGTGATGCTATTAGGATGAATAGAAAGTAGGAATAACTTAGTGGACAACAAAACATTTCAATATAGAATTTTTACAACAGTGTCCAGAGATGATATCAAAGAAGACTGTTGTGAATCATGACTGATGACTGAAATAATATATGTGTACAACTTGGGCATTGTGGTAGTAAGTAATTCCACACTAGTTTGTTTCAGGATTTCATCATAAGCGTACTGCTGAAGAGTCCCAAACTAGGACGAAACAGCTGTCCAGTACTCCCAGGTTTTCCAATGGTTCTCTAACTAATGTCAGCTCATGATGAAATCCTGAAACCAATCAAATCCCTACAAACCAACACTTAAATACTAGTTTGTTTATTAAATATATCTGAAACACAGTGAAACAGTATTATTTACTGGATGACGAGGTTTCGAACAAAATTTATCATTGTTCATAATCATAACATCAATTGTAATCACACGACTTTGAAACTTGAATTTTATAGTTTTCGTTCATTCCTATTACACGTATTTGCAGTTGATTCGATAAACAAAGCTTCTGTTATCAATCTCTCCCTCTACTCCGTTATATCAGTTAGATTTTAAAACTGTAATCTTATCCCATTCAGCCTATTGTGTGGTTGCGTGTAACTGCATGTAGTAGCGAGTGTTATAGCTGAATTATTCTCTAGATTTCTTATCTTATTTGGGTCAACTAGTCTAGATTTTGCTGCTATGTTTTTATACTCGGCTAGTCTGATTGCCTCTGTCCTACTAGTTTGACCAATGTATTTGACCTGACAATCATTGCAGGTAGGGTATTAGATAAACTAAATTGTTTTGTTTTAAAGGCTTCACTGACAGGATCCTTTAATTGACAAAGCTTGTTTCTAATTGAGTTTGTGGGGAGTCTGAATGGGAGCTACTTTTATTCCTGCCTTGTTAAGAATTCTGCGTAAGGTGGTTTCCGAGGTTCCTTCCTTGTATGGAATTACTACTGATGATTTAGATTCCTTATTGTTGGTGCCGTCATTAATATTATTACCACTATTATTATTATTATTATTGTTATCATTATTATTATTATTACTATTATCACCTATCGCTACTATCATTATTTATTTTATTTTTACATTTCCTTACATACTTCCTGACTAATTTATCCGGATAATTATTATGTTTCAAGGCTTCTTTTATGTGTATCACTTCCTGTCTTAGATTTTCCTTGGTACTACTTAGTTTTTGTGCTCTGTCACTTAAACATTTCACCAATCCTATTTTTGTTGACATAGGATGGGATGATCGGAAATCCAAATATCTGTTTGAATGCGTGGGTGTCCTAGAAACACCAGTATTTAACTTCCCAACCTCTCTCCTTTTTACGCTACAATCTAACATTGGAAGCTCCCCCTTCCTGACTTTTCATTTCGTAAGTGAATTGAATTGCCTTTACCTTTGAGTTAGTGTGTTCGAAAAATCTATCCATCTCCTATGTTTTAAGTACAGTGAATGTATCATCTACATAACTCCACCATACTTTTGGCGTGTGGCTGAGTGTTTCAATCGCTATGTTTTCCCACCTACCTATGAATATATCTGCTACAACCGGGGATATTGGTGATTCCATGGCAACTCCCTCAGTTTATTTGTATATTTTCCCTTTGAATTTAGATACTTTGGAAGTCAGGCACAGCTGCACCACCAGCATTATGTCCTCGAGTGGCACTTTTATCCTAAGTTCGAGTTCTTGGTCAGAAATGAGTTCGTTTCTGACTGCCTCTATAGCCATATTTATTGGTATACGTGTATATAAACTGATAATGTCAAAAGTAACCATTTTTTCTTTATTATCTAATTTTAAATTATCTAATCTGTGTTTTATTTGTCTGTCTGTCTGTTTTCGACACAGAACTTTGCACAAATGTGCGGAAGTTCAAGTCGCCACATTCCGTGTAGTACGCGAAGCAAGAGAAGAAAGTACAAGAAAAGCATAACAGAAACAGTGAGCAGAGGTGTGAGACAAAGGAGTAATAAAGAAATACAAAACAGTTTCATTGAAGATCATAAGTCACAGGGAGTGGATGCATTTGCGCCACTGAGAACGGTTTTGAGCCATGTCACCAATTGTTTCCAACCATAGATTTTTACCGTCCCGAGTGTGTTTTATTTAGTTCATAAGAATTAGTTAGTCTAGATTTCGAGTGGATTTTTAGGGGATTTAATATCATGGCTAAATATTTAGATAATTCGTAAGTAGATGAATTTCTAAAATCAACTATAAGGGACTGATGTCGAAGGCGAACACACCCGTAGACCGACGGACTGTTCACAATCGATTAACACCTATGCAATTTATTACGCTACCATGAAATACTAAAGATGATTTGACCACAAAATCATGGTCTACACAAGTCTGAAGGAAGAAGATTTTGCAGCTGACCACCTCGATGTGCATATATCAGTTCAACAGTTCGTGTGGAGCAGCCAGGTAAATTGGTCTCTCGACACGTATCCTATCTAAAAGCATTCAAACACACTATCTCTGATGGTTGCAGCAGGGCAACACTAGCTGTATAAGTGGGAGAGGGAGAGAGAGAGCTAGCTCTAAGCCAAAATTGTAGACAACAGTTGACGTCAATGTTTACTTTCCGGAATCGAGGTCATGAGAAAAAAAAAACAATAACAAAGCTTAACTTTGAGGAACTCAACAACCAATTACAGAAAATACGATTCGCAGAAATATGGCTTAACTTTCTGAGAAATGATCACAAGCAGTACAGAATAATCTTCAGCAAAGGAAACACAACCAATCAGAAGATGTTGCTTCTCTGTTAACGATAACCTTAATAATAATGTACATAAAAATCTATATATATTTCTGTTGATTTTCTCAATAAACGATCTGTTGACTGTCCCTTGTCTTCTGTGATTACATAATGAGTGCGATAATTGAACATCTTGTCAGTAGACAGGTGATTCTGTCTAAACAAACGCCTCCTTCAAGTGTGTTCTATTGAGTGAAGAACAATCCTCCAAAGAAAACACGCCTTCATCTCCTTTGTATTACTTAAAGCTCTATCCAATCACAGTTAGAGAAAGTGGAGTTCTTACATACGAAAGAAAACCACTTTTAGTATCATCGGTAACGAAACTGTTGTTTTCTAGCAGACTGACTTCGTCTGTTTGTTCGTTTTTTTTGTTCAACTCTTTATGACTCTCTTGTATTTCTTTCGAACTTTTACGTAGTAGCACATTTTCCTTCGTCTGACTAATACTCGGGGTGTAGATTACCCGACTGGTTGGAGTCCTCAAGACAGTAAACACCAATGACAGCTGGAGACAATTGATGATATGGCTCAAAATTGTTTTCAATGGCTGGCTGGCGCAGATGCATCCTACTGCTTGTGACTTCTAATTTCCAATGAAACTATATTGTTCTTTTTGCCTCATATCTCTGTTAACTGTCTGTAGTTTGCGTTTCTTTTTACTTTCTTCTCTTGCTTTGTGTGCTACAAGGAGGAAGTGTGGCGACTTGAACTGGTGCACATCGGTGCAGACTTCTATGTTGAAAAAACAGACACACTGATAATCTTGTCTAAATAAACAACTCTAGATTTTAGTTTCGTATACAGTGATAAGTTTGTAATCATACAGTGAAACAACTGACTAAAATTCCTTGACAGACTCTTCAGAAAAAATAAATAGTCATTAAACGTGATCGACTATGTACTCACCTATTCGTTTACCACGTATACGTGGACCAGGAACAACATCAGGTAAAACTTCACGACGACCTTCACCGCCTGAAGATGGACTGCGTGACCATGATCTATTTAATTAACAATAAAAGCAAAGCGCACGCACCATTATCATCAATCAAGCAACTGGTAAAAAAAAACACAGACGTGAGAAACACTGAAAAGCCGCAGGGAGTATATATACTCGAAGGTTGTTGCGTCCCGCTTGGAGTCTGTCTCTTCAGCAACACGTAACCGAAAGGGTCACGATAAAAAAATCCGGCGATTGGACTTCACTCGAACTCACCTTGAAACCTGAAGATCCTAGGGGGTTCAAAACCCAGGGCTGAAGAATCCTAAACTATGAAGAAACTGCTGCGGAATTCACGTGGTTTCCGAACTGATACCAACCCGTAATCAAGCTTAAAACAAGTGTGGTGAGAGCAGCCTCCTAGTCAATTGGTTGACATTAATTTACGTCAATGTCTAGGTCACTAATATGGGCCGTGAGAAAATATGAACAAGGCTGTTTCAACAACCAATCACAGCAAACTTAAACGTGGACAAATATGATTCGCAGATAGATGGCTCCACTTTCCGAGGAACTCGAAAACAACCAATCAGAAGACTGCGTTTGTCTACTTGACTAGGCTATATTACGTGTTGATTTCCGTAATAAAACGATCTGTTGCCTGGCCCTTGTCTTCTGTTGTTACACAAGTAACTCAGGAAGGAGTCTTTAATAGGTTCATTACTCAAAGAAATTGAACATACATTCACACAGGAGTGAGTGTGTGTGTGAAGGTGATAGATGGCCACGATTAGATAACTACTCCAGATAAACTCCCTACAGGGAAAATCACTTTTTTTCTCAAGATACACTTAAAGCTCCTCCCGCCCCGCACCTGATAACTCTCTTCCTATACAACAAAAGATTAAAGTTAAAAATAAAAACAGTATCCCAGTCATGTGTGACTCTTACGCCTAACACATAAATCATCAGTGGTTGTGGGGTAAAGGTAAAAAAATCTCACGCTGGTTTTCAATTCCCAGTTATTTGTGTCTGTCGTGTCGTGTCTTGTGGGGAGAAAACTACACTGGTAAATATTTTCAAAAATCTGGTGGCTTAGTTGTCGAATTAGAGGCTAATGCCATTGATAGTAACAACAAGACTCAACTCAACAATTTTCTCAGAGTATTTCCACAATCCACCTTCAATTTCTTGAGCGAAAGAGGGGTTGTCGGTTGTTTCATATTAGTTTGTTTGTTAGATGTATCACACAGTGACAGAAACAGTATTATTTACTGGATGACGAGGTTTCGAACAAAATTTATCATTGTTCATAATCATAACATCGATTGCAATCACAGGACTTTGAAACTTGAGTTTTATAGTTTTCTTTCTCCTCTCCTAATTTGTCGTCGTTGGGGTCTGTCTGTCTATCTGGATTCAACATAGAACTTGGCACCCAAGTGCACCAGTTCGAGTTGCCACGTTCCAAAATAGAACACAGAGGTAGACAAGAAGATGAGTGAAGAGAATCAATAGAGTTTGACAAGTATAAGAGTGAAACAGAATGGGTAATGGTAGAAAGGAATATGAAAGATTACAGAGACTGAATACATATGCGCTGGCCATTGACAACGATTTTCAGCCATGTCAGCACCTATTGTATCCAGCCTTGATTCTTAGAGTCAGTCCCGAGGGCCCCAACCCGGAAGTCTGCATCTCCCTACCTGACCGACTCAGTTCAACTTTCAAGGATTTCATGGATTGATGCCATGTGTTTTTGTTTGGCCGCCAATTACTCTTTTCCAACCTGCACCACCTATATCAGCTAGTAATGCCCGTCGGGTGGGGGAGGCGATGGTTAGGCATGCACACCACGTCACCTAGCCATCTCAATCTATGTAACTTTATAGCCTCGTCGATTGATTTTCCCTGTTTGCCCAACACTCTAGGCCTAACGTCAACATTACTTACCTTATTAAGCCACCTAACGTGAGACAGAGATCGCAGACATCTATGATCGAAAGCCGTCAACCTTTTCATGTCTTCAACTCGTATTGGCCGTGTTTCAGAGACATAGAGAAGGATGGACGGAGCGAACTAATGAGCAGTACACACGTCCTTTGGTTGATAGCCGGATGTCACGTCGTTGGGGCAGTAGAATTTTCCAGATGTCTGACTGAACAGGTGTTGAATCATTCCTATTATATGTATTTGCAGTTAATTCGATAAACAAAGCTTCGGTTATCATTAGATTTTAAAAGTGGTATCCTATCCCATCCAGCCTATTGTGTGGTTGTGTGTAACTGCATGTAGTAGCGAGTGCTATAGCTGAACCATTCTCTAGATTTCTTATCTTATTTGGGTCAACCAATCTAGATTTTACCGCTATGTTTTTATACTCGGCTATTCTGACTGCCTTTGTTCTACTAGTATGACCAATGTATTTGACCTGACAATCATTGCAGGTAGGGTATTAGATAAACTAAATTGTTTTGTTTTAAAGGCTTCACTGACAGGATCCTTTAATTGACAAAGCTTGTTTCTAATTGAGTTTGTGGGCATGGTTTGAATGTCAGCCTCTTTTATTCCCTGCCTTGTTAGGAATTTTGCGTCGGCGGTTTCCGAGGTTCCTTCCTTGTAAGGAATAAGATAAGAAATCTAGAGAATAGTTCAGCTGTTGATAGCACTACATGCAGTTACACACAACCACACAATAGCATGGATGGGATAAGATGACAGTTTTAAAATCTAACTGATATAACAGAGTGGAGGGGAAGATTGATAACAGAAGCTTTGTTCATCGAATCAACTGCAACACAACACGTGTAATAGGAATGATTCAACACCTGTCCACCCAGATATCTGGAAAATTCTACTACCCCTACGACGACAAATAGGAGAAGACAAAGAAAACTATTAAAACTCAAGTTTCGAAGTTGTGTGATTATAACTGACAATATGATTATGAACAATAAATTTTGTTCGAAACGTCATCCAGTAAATAATACTGTTGGTTGATTCATCAGAAGAATTCTTATTTGCTTATCTTCTCTAATGAGTCATCTTGTGGCGAGTGCTACTCATAATATTTATCAGTAGTACATTAAGAGAATTTCATCGATTGGCATAAAACAACATCAAATAGCAGGGAGATCCGTTTAATTTCAAAGAAGGCAAATGCTACAGCGTTGTGAAGATACTTGGGAGACAGATGAAAGGAACCCCAAGGAAACATGATATGAAGAAGCAAAGCTAGAAGTACAACAACACGAAGGCCTGTTCATCAAATGGTGCGTGTGTCGAAGATAAGGTATACATAATTTGTACATATATTGAGATGTATGTTTTTCTTACTCTAATGACTTTATTGATTGTATAACGGTCAAATGCCGCCCGAAACATTTATCCAAATTCAAATACGTCTTCATCTCTAACATTTATGTTACTCCTGGCTGTTCTGCATCTGATCTATCTGATTTTGCTGATGAATTCACTGAATTTGCCGTTACACATCTTGAAAACTCTTTATCAGTTGTCACAGGAGATTTTAACTGCTGTGATTGTTCTTTCCTCGTATCATTAGGTCATGCCAATATTGTTAAATTCCCTACTCGACTTGATAAAACCCTTGACCTGGTGTTCATTAATGATGAGGAAATATATGAAGTACGCCGACGTGCTCCTATCATGAACTCAGATCATTGTATTATTCGGATATTACCTAAGATATACAGCAGATCTCACTTTAATATCTTCTCAAATCTGTCCAAGAGAACACAGCAAAGGTGTTACTCACAAGAAAATATGCTCAAACTAAGATGTATGCTAAATGACACTAACTGGGAACTTTTCAACGAACACAAACTGGATGATACTATTTCCAATTTGACTGACTATCTTAAATTCTGTCTTGATATATGCTGTCCAAAACAGATAATTTTCAAAAGAATGGATCGTTTTTCTTCCCCTCATCTCAAAAAACTTCGTAGAGAAAAAGAGAAGCTGTACAAGACAAAGAATAAATCTGGTCTTAAGAAGATAAACACCCAAATTAAATCTGAAATCAAGAGACTAAACAACATTTATAATCAAACAATACTATCTTGTAAAACCTCAGAAAACATATGGAAGCTTTTTAGAGAAATTACTGGTTGTGGTAAGCATAATAATTTTGCCTCTTCTATTGATGTAAATACTCTCAATAGATCTTTCATCCGCCCTCCAAATGTCCTTTCTGCCTTCAATTTAACTAATAACACGACCAGTGACTTTCATCGTTTCAATACTTCTGATGTTCTTAAATGTTTGAAATCTCTTAAACCTTCCCAGAGTCTAGGCCCTGATGGTATACCTGCCATTGTTTTAAAGAAATGTGCTGATATTTTAAGTAACCCACTTACAAGCATTCTCAATACTTCTTTTTCTAATAATAATGTACCTTCTCTGTGGAAAGATATTAAAATCATCCCTGTACCCAAGTCTGGTTCTGGAGATAGTGTTAAGTTTAGACCAATTGCCATTACCTCTCCTTTCTTGAAACTGATGGAGAAATTACTCTTACAAAAACTCATTCCCTCCCTAAGCTTCTCAAATGATCCAAAGCAGTTTGCTTACAAACAGGGTAGAAGTACTTTGGATGCTGCTGCAGTGTTTCATCACAACATTGTATCCTCCTTAGACAAAGGGGCCAAGTATGTCCGTTGTACTTTCCTTGATTACACATCTGCTTTTGACTCTGTACCTAGAGGCCTTTTGTTAAACAAGCTTAGCCTTACACAAACTGAGTCCTGGGCTATCAACTGGCTGCACTCTTACTTCTCCAATAGGATGCAGTACACGGTATATAATGGTGTAGCTTCCTCTCCTTTGCTTACTGAAGCTGGTGTTCCTCAGGGTGCTGTTCTCTCGCCGTTTCTCTTTTCCTTCTTCTTACATGACTTACCTCTCTCAGACGAAATCAACTTCGTCAAATATGCAGATGACCTGACTGTTTCGCTTCCCGTTAAGTCTCAGTCAGACTGCTTCAAATTAAATAGCTTCCTGTCGGACATCAGTCAGTGGTCTAAAATAAATGGCCTAACGCTGAATCCCTCAAAATGCCAGACTGTCGACTTCTCCTTTAGGCATAAACGAGATCTACAAACACTAGTAAGCACTCATGATGTCTGTAGAATCGAGGGGACTATAATTGAAACAAAGTCTAATGCAAAATACCTCGGATTAGTTATATCTTCCGACCTTACTTGGTCATCTCATATCCAAATGATTTCCAAGAAAGTGTTTCGTCTAACCTACTACATTAAGAAACTCAGACTAACTGGAGTCCCTCAACCTCTGCTTACACAATTTGTCAACTCTCGTATCCTACCTATTCTACTTTACTGTTCCCCGTTAGTCTTTCCTGGGTTACTGAAAAAGGATTATACCATCCTGAGAAGGATGTTGAAGGTAGTTAGCAGGACTAGCGGTGTAAAACTCAGTCAGCTCGTCACAACATTAGTGGATAAGCATCTGAATACATGTGAGAAATGGTCTAAAACCATACTCTCTGACCCCCAACACCCCCTCTATTCCCAACTCTCTCCTTGCATCTCATCAGGTAGAACCAGAAATCAGTATAAAATAATATATGCTCGCACAACCAAGTATAGGAACTCAACGATACCATATTTGGCCCGTGTTCTAAGTGACAGAGACAATGTTAGGCGTGAAACCTATGACTTGCTTTGTTGTTAATAACATAATTTTGGCCCTTGTTATTTCCCCCTTACACTCTCTTATTTGTACTCTATAGTGAACAACCTTCTTAAACATACTTAGCTGCTTAAAATTATTATCATTGGCTTACATTTTTATTCTTTATTCTATTCCTTCTTTGTACATCTACTGGGTCCGACTATATTATCACTATGATTATTAAAAATTGTCCCGTCATTAACCATCATGTAACATTAGTTTTGTGGTTGTTCTTTGTTCGGCACTATTTAACTGACAATCTTGTTTGTTATTGCCACTATCACCATCTTAAAAATTTTGTATTATGCATGATTCCTCACACTGCCACTACAAACAACCGCATTAGTACTGACAAAAAAAAACACCTGAAATGTTTATCTTATGATTGCTTAGTGTTGTTCAATCAAATTAACTGATCATCTTGGCTATAAACATTTTTTTAAGAACATCTCATAATTTCCCGTATGATTATAGCTGTTACTGTTCACCACGCATACACATATCGTAGCTTCCACTAACTAATACTGAAATATTTTTTTTCATTATTTGTGTTGATCTTCTTTTTTACTCAGTATTTTTATTTGCATTTTTTTTGGTTATTTCTGTTTCTTTTTTTGGGTTTTTTTTATATTTTATTTTTTTTTATAATACTCCTTTTAAATGTACGATGAAATTAGATGCAATATTGTAGATATGTGCTGAAAATTCCACACTGTACCACAAGTACTGTTTCTGGAATAAAGCGAAATTGTTATGTTATGTTATACCAAGTCTTCGTCTCCTACCGTTTCAATACCACAACAGCTAGTTTGTAGCAGTTGAAACGACTAGACTTGACTAGACTAGACTATAACCAGACTGGTTAATTGAAAGAGGCAAAGAAATTATTCAAAGCACAGTAAAGCACATACAATAATCTGAAATGGTTCTTTAACCAAAAAAAGAGAAACTCACGTGATGAATTGTTTTGATTCAATATCCTTACCAAAAGGACTACGCGAACCAGAAGATGATCGGGAGTGCAATTTTTCGCGTCCATCGCCTTGAATAAAATTACACATTGTTACAATTAGAATAGCAAATCTAACCAAATATTCTCAATCAACAGGCGGGGGGTATTAAACAGTTGTCTAGTAACATTCAATTTATTTAGTCAATCTTCCTCTGTGAGGTAGATTACACACAATGTCCAGTTTAAGGTGTATGCTTTTTAACAATGGCTTAACAACTGGGAATCAAAGGGTTAATCAAAACTAATATCTGTCCTATTCGACAAAACATGATGTCAACATATGTATGTATATATCGAACACAAGAGCATATATATATATATTATTGTTCCCTTGGGTTCCTAGTGGAACATAGGGCTTCAACTGCACGTCTCCACTTGCTTCTGTCTTCCTTCTGCTATACTTTTCACCTGCATCCATGCATGTTAGTCCATACTCTTTCAACTCCTCTTCACACGATCTCCTCCATGTCATCCTTGCACTGACGTCCCACTCGCCGCTTACCTTTCGGCCTGGTTCCAGTCGAGGGCTTGACACGCGATGTCACCAAGCGGTCTACTCAGCGAGTGTCCGATCCATCTCCACTTTCTCCTGCATATTTGTTGGGCGATTGGTTCTTGTTTTGTTTGTTATCAGCCATAGTTTCTTGTTGGTGATTCTCTCCGGCCCGGCCATCTGATCTTCAGGCTGCAACAGGCTGTTGGAAATATTCTTTGTGACCCGCCCGCCAAGTTTCTGTCTTATCCGTATAGAAGAAGTGACTTGACGTTTGTATTGAAAATCTGACTGAATTTTGTTGTTGACGAAGATTTCCAGATTGGTTTCAGGTTGATGAATGTTTCTCGCCTTCCCGATTCTCGCTAGATTTGACATCCTCGTCCGTTCCTACTTCCTGTAGTTGAGACAATGCTCCCTCGATAAGTTAGTGAAGTGATGTCTTTCAAATCCCTCCCACTGATGGGGATTGAGGCTGGATGTTGCTGTTGTTGTTGTTGGTCGGTTATTTTCATCACCTTCGTCTTGTCTATGTTCACTTGGAGTCCTGTCTTCGCCGGCTGCTTCTTCAACCAGTTTGTCGGTTTTCGCTCGCATGTAAGTCTTTGATTTTGTGTCACATCAAACATAAATCATCAACGCGCGAAATCCAGGTCTTCTAGGTTATTCACGTCGGTCTAGGATATCCCTGTGTTCTCGTTTCCCAGTCACTGTCTGATGCATAATCCAGTCCACCACAATTACGAATATCATTGGTGATAATAAGCACCCTTGTCTGACTCCTGTGTTTACTCCAAACGCCTCACTGAGTTTTCCGCTATGGATCACTTGACCTGTGACGTTGACGTAAAGCTGTTGAATATGGTTGAAGAATATTCGGGATACGCCATATATATATATATATATATATATATATATGCATTGTTAATCGATAATGAACAGGTGAAAAGCACTCATATCTATGAAATATTAGTGATGTAGTCAATCAGATCAAAATAATCCAAAAAACTTCACAGTTATTTTGTTAATTTAAGGCCTGGCTTTTTACCATCCTCTCTCTCTCTCTCTGTCTTTCTCTTGTAAGATCAGGAAATAATTATATGATTTCGGAGCACATGAAAATCAGTTGATATTATTGAGTTTATTCAAGTGTTGTGCAATCACAATAAACAAAATACTTGATAGATTCACGGTTTTGTTTAATTCAAACAAATTTTAACTGTCAGTAATTTCTTGGCGCGCTGAAATCATAATTTACACTATTGACCATCACAGCACTTTATTCAACATAGCGAAGTTATCTGTGCTTAATACCTTATTACTCTGTCTGTCTGTTTACAACACAAAACTTTGCACCGATGTGCACCAGTTCCAGTTGCCACACTCCATGTAGCACACAAAGCAAGAGAAGAAAGTAGAAGAAATGCAAAATAGAGACAGTAAACAGAGATATGTGACAAAAGGAATAGTAATAACGAAGAACAATATAGTTTCATTGGAAATTATAAGTCACAAGGGGAGTGGATGCATCTGCACTATTCATTGAGAACGATTTTGAGTCATATCACCGATTGTCTCCAGTTGTCATTGGGTTTTACGGTCCCGAAGACCCCAACCAGGAAGGCTACATCTTCCCACGTAGCTGACTTAAACTGTTGTGGATTTCATCGACTGGTGCCATTTTTTGGTCTGACTACAACTGGCTCTTTTCCAACCTGATCTATGCTATGTCAGCTAACATTGCCGATTTTCGAGGAAGGCGATGGTAGGCTAAGCTAGGCATGCGTAACACCTGTCCTAACCATCTCAGTCGATGTAACTTTACAGCCTCGCCAATTGATTTACCCTCCCACCTACCTAGCACTCGACCGATGCATAACCTCAGTATTGCTGACCCTATTATATCACTTCACACGGGAGATAGAGCGCAGACACTTATGATCGAAGACAGCTAATCTTTTCATGTCTTCCACTCTCAATGATTGGGTCTCACAGCTGGCCATAAAGGAGGACGGAGCGGACTGATGAGCAGTACACCCGCCCTTTCGTCGGTAGCCGGATATCAAGTCTACGCCAGAGATGGAGTAAACTGACATATGCGAAACGAGCCTTCTGTATCCCTTTTGAGATTTCGTCAGAGATCAACCTGTTGGGGTCGATGCAACTTTCCAAATAAATGAAGCGGTCAAAACGCTCTACCACTACACTCCCTATTTCTAAGCTAGGAGTCGATGTAGTCCAATTCAGTCCTGTAGCATCATCTTACATTTGACAAGGAGAGCGAATCGCATGTCAAACATTCGCAGATTGCAGTTCAAGGTGTTTAGAAGACTCTGCATTTTGTCAACGTTTGCACCTAGATGGACTATATCATCTGCATGTTTTATACTACTGGTAGTCTGAGTGATATGAGTAGTCGGATATCATTCACATCAAGTGGGAAATGATGCCTTCCTAGCCAAAGAGAAGTCATCCGGACACCACATGACTTTTAGAGGCCAAACTTATCAGCTATATATGTGCATCCAGTTAAAAAGCCGAATCAATGTTCAAGTCAGCCGACTTTTAGTTAGCTACTTGAGCGAACTGGTTGGAGTGAAATTTCAAGTTGGACCACGGATTGATTGATATTAGTTAGAAAACTATCGAAAACCAGGAAGGAAAGAGTACTGAACAGCTGATTCGTCCTTCCGCTCCGCTCCGCTCCCGAACCGAAACTCATCGGAAGTACATATCTACCGCCAAGGTTCGAACCCAGGACTTTCCGGTTACAACGAAAGCCAAAAGATTATTCAACCACTGAGCCCCCACTTATTGGCCAGCCCATGAATTGTCTTCTACCAAATCGTGATTTTAGCATGACTGGGACCAGTCAATGTTATCCCCACACTCCCGATCGGGTGGGGACCGCCTACTGGTCAAGACTTCTCACTAGGACCTCCAGGCAATTTCGTCCTGTAACCAGTCACTACTAGCGAGGATCAATCAATGAATCAATCTGCGGTTAAACTTCAAATAATAATAATATTAATCAATATTAAAACTTACCCTTAGATAAATTCTGTACTGCAGCTAGTGATGGCGCTGCAACCCATGGTCTCTTAACCGGTCTTTCACTAGGCAGAGGTGGAATATCAGTACGACGGCTAGAAGAAGAATAGGAGGCAAACAAAAATGGTGTAAAATACACACATCTATCCACACAGATTGAATGTTAAAATAATAATATGAACGAGTCAAATAATTATTCCTTAGAATACAAAACTTGGTAACATTATGGGGTGTGGCGTGTGCTACTATTGACAAGATTCATATGGAGTATTGTTGTAGATGTGGATTGACAGTAAGCGACCATATTTGAAATCAACATTTTAAGTCAATGGCTGGCTGGTGGTAGAGGTAGAAGTGTTTATTCCACGTATCTGAATCTACTTTACCTTGTAAAGACATGGAATAATCTCATTGGGTTCTTTTTAAAGATGGTGGCGAGACCCTTGTAATGGCTCTAACTGGATTATCCAGGAAGGTATGGGAGACAGAGAGTGTACCATCAATGTAACACGAAGCCATTATCATCCATAGGGGTATCAGTCTGCTACCAGTTGCGTCTAAAATACTGGCTGCTGTCTTGCTTCGCAGGCTGCGCAAAACACGTGAAGGATTGATTCGTGAAGAGCGGGCTGGGTTTAGTTCAGGTCGTGGATGCATTGATCACGTGTTCACCCTTCGTCAGTTGTTGGAACACCGCCACACATATTGCAGGCCAACGATGGTTGTGTTTCTTGATATTAGGGCTGCCTTAGATTCGTTGGACAGAACTGTGCTCTGAAACTGTCTGTTAGAGCGAGGTGTACCTGAGAAATTTGTTAAAGTTCTTGAAAGCCCTACACAGAAACACCTCGGGTAGAGTGAGGGCATACAACCAAATATCATCACTCTTCTCAACCAACAGTGGGGTTAGACAGGGTTGCCCAATCTCCCCATTTCTCTTTAACTTTGCCATCGATGACATTCTGGGGTCAGCTCTGAAGGATGTGCGTGAAGGTGGTGCAGATCTGCTACCTGGAGATAGACTTTTCGACCTCGAGTATGCAGACGATATCGTCTTACTGTGCGATAGCATGCAGGCTGCCCAAATCGCACTTAATCAGTTGGTGATCAGTGTCTGTAAGTATGGTATTTGCTTTGCGCCGTCTAAGTGTAAAGTAGTGTTACCAGATTGGCAGGAGCCTGTACCTGCACTCACTCTTCTGGGTGAACTGCTTGAAGTTGTTGATAAGTTTGTGTACCTGGGTAGTTGTGTGAGTGCTGGCGGAGGAGTGACGGATGAGATTTCCAACCGTATAATGAAGGCTAGGGTGGCATACATCAACTTGAGCCACCTCTGGCGCCGTCGCGACGTTAGCTTGGCTGTCAAAGGTTGAGTATACAATGCTTTGGTGAAAGCTGTTTTTCTCTACGCTTGTGAGACCTGGCCTCTCCGAGCTGAGGATGTGCAGCGACTCTGTGTGTTCGATCATCGCTGTCTCCACAGGATTGCTTACGTTCGATGGCATTATCGCGTGAGTAATTCTCAGGTTCGGCGGAGTGTGGTTGAACACAATGATCACCATTTTTTGAGTGTCATCATCTAGAAACACAGATTTCGGTGGTTTGGATATGTACTGCGAACGTTATCCCAGAGGCTTCCGTTCAGGTCTCTGTTCGCTAGCCAGCCCTAGGACGGGATGGAAAAGGTGGAGAGTTGGGGCAGTCCATGACGTGGCGTCGTGTGCTAGATTAGCACCGGTCGGTGCGTCACGACTCCCCAGTTGGGGTCCGAGAGATAGCTCGAATTCACGGCTGGAAACGTTATCCGATATGGCCAAGAATCGTAATCAATGGTGAATGTGTTGCGATTTCCTTCTTTCTTCTCTTCCCGATGATGAACTTGTCAAGTATGAGTGTTTTCCTTCCTGATGAAGTTCTTTATTCGTTGTCTACTTATATTTTTACTTTTAATCTATGTTGCTTTATTATAATTATTGTGTAGAGCATCTTCCTAGTGCCACATTGTACCAAGTTTTTCTGCGTTTAAATAAATAAATAAATAAACATTGGACAACGTTTTGTCTCATTGTTTAGTCTTAGGCCAATCATCAACCAATCAGAATAATTTATCACGCCGTTGACATAGCCGACTATTAATGTGGTTAAAAATGTAAAAATATGATGTTTCTCCCTAATAAAAGTCCGTCAACAATTTCTCTTATGTCCTAACGTTACGTTACATGGACACAAAGAGATGCTCCACAGACATAATTATCTCATAGTTAGTGAGAATGCTAAGATACTCACTGCTCGGATGACCAAACGGGAAGCAGGTGGCTGTCTTAAAGAGGTTACTCCCCGAACCTCTAATCTGAAGTGTAATTCATAAGGTAATGTAGCAGCGTATCAGGAACCAAATAAATAGTAAAAAAGAAAAATAATTTAGAAAACAAAAATCTTTCGCGATTTACCGAGGTGGTGAACCAGGCGATTTTGATTTTCGACCAGCACGTAGATTTGTTTGACGACCAAATCGTCCTCCTAGTAAAAATAATGATTACAAAAAATTCAGTGAACGGAGAAAAGAAAGCAACCGAGCAAACGTTACATAGATAAAGTTGAATTGAATGGTAAAAATGGAATGAATGTTACTCAATAATCACTTCTGAATCCATGCACTTGGTGGTAATCAGTCACACTCATTGTGTGTATGACTACTATATCAGTCGGTGAGGAAGGCGATCGATAGCTAGGCATCCCCACGTAACACATTTCCTAGCCATCTCAATCCGTCTAAATTCACAACCTCATCGATTGATGTCCACTCCTTACCTAGCCCTAGACAGATGTCTCATCTCAATATAACTCACCCCATTATGCCACTTCACACTGGAAGTAGGACCCAGACACCTATGATCAAAGACAGCTGATCAGGCTTATAGTGTCTCCCAATTTCAATGGTCATGTCTCACTTACATTCATAAAGGCGGACGGAGCAAACTGCTAAGCGGTACACACGTCCTTCGGTCGCGGCACAGTTAGATATTACGTCTACTAAACCAGAGATGATGTAAGTCGGAATATAGCAAACGAGCCTTCTGTATGCATGCTGAAATTTCGTCAGCGGTCAGGTCAACCAGCTTGGGCTGATGAAAATTCCCAAATAAATAAAAGGGTCAACACACTATACCACTTCAGGAGTAGACGTAGTCTAGTCCAGTATCTCACCATCAAACATTTGACAAGGGGAGCGAATCACATGTCAAATATTCGAATGTTGCTGCTCACAAGACCGAATTTTTTCTGCGTATTCACACCTAGAAGGACTATATATCATCTGTATATTCTAAGTTAACAAGATTATCCCATCAATAACTAGAGGTTTTTTTTATTATACACAGTGTGATGGAAAGTTCGAGGGAGGACAGAGTAAGAGTGAAAAAGAACTAGTACAGGAAAATTACATAAATTATTACGTAAACAAACAACTAAGTACATTGAAATATTAATAATGAGTTCAACTGAGTGATTATTTGTAATCGAAAACAAAAAGTATTGTGGAGCAACCACCAAAAAAAAAACGCAGAAGAGAAGAGATCTCTAGTCATATTATCAGGGTAGTATGAGATTAAAATCACACTACCTTTCTACATACACAGATCAGGATGAAATCATTTGGTAGCAATGGCGCTTCAGCAACGCAAACTAGCCAAGGATTCGTCTGTACACATCGATTATTTTGAAGGCTTAACTGATTTCAACTGAATACCCATGTTTATTCGGTACCTAGCGTTTGTACTTACGAACACTTTCTTACTTTTCATACAAAGACTGTTAAGGATACATACTAAGGATACTAAGCAAATTTAATAGATACTCTTCTCTCAATCCTTCACATATGTACTTCCTAACGTAAGTGAATGTCAACTGGTATTATGCGATCAGAGTAGACATGACTAAAATACTTATTGATATGTATCCATATATATATATATATATATATATATATATATATATATATACATGTGTGTGTATGGTGGTCTCTCTTTCTGTTGCTCTCTTAGTCTGTGACCATTTCACTTTGATGAACCTGTCTCCTTTAACAATATATATTCCCATTATAGTATATATAATGTGTGTTTGTTGACAGTCTGTTATATTTCGCTATGTATATATGGATCGATACTCCATTATAATTAGCCAATCATGTTAAGACTGTCTATTGATTTGTTCACTCACTTGTTTGGACATTCATATATATTTTACTCTCACACTATTGTATGATACATATTGATTCTCCTTGTGTTTGGAATATAGAAGTATCATCGCAAACCTAGTGGTCTTCTGATTTCCGTCTTTTTTGCGTCAGGACTATTAAATTCTCGACCAGTACATAGCAATAATTTGGCGACGAGTACATAACACTTATATCAACTCCAAGCAGAGGGACACTTTCTTTCAAATGGACCTTTGATTCTTTTTTCCGATTCTTGCTCGGTGTTTTACTCCTGTTGTACGCCATGCAAACAAAGACTAGTTTTCAAATATTGGCTTTTGTATGGATTTGGATTGATTGGTTACAGGATTTCATCATGAGTTGACATTTTAGTTAGGGAATCATTGAAAAATCAGCACTGGAGTTACTGGACTACTGAAGAGTCCCGAACTAGGATGAAACATCTGTCCAGATTACTCCCAGATTTTTCGATGGTTCTCCAACCAATGTAAGCTCATGATGAAAACTAGTTTCGCTTTCAGATGGCCAGGAAGAATTATCAACAACAAAATTTTGGGGACGAACCAATCAAGAACCTATTGCCCAATAAATATGCTGAGACAAGTTGAAGAGACTGTTGTGTGACCTCACGTGCCACACATTACCTCGAGTGGAAGGTGTTAGTTATTAGAGCCATTGTGCGTCGGTGGCACAGTGGTTAGGACTCTCGCCGACCATCCACATGGTCCGGGGTTCGAGCCCACGCCGGCGCACACCTGATATCTATGGTCGGCCTGCAAAATTTGGGCTACCGATATCCATGCTGAAAATTCCATACTTGTATCAAAAATACAGTGTGGAATCAAGCTGTAAATCAAAAATCAAAAAAAAAATCAAAACAGTATTTCTATATTGAATCACCTCGCCCAAACAGGTCACAAAGCTGGTTAGCGTTGAAGAGCCTTTCTCCATCATTCATCCTGAGTATCGAATAAATTACCAAAGGCCTCTAGATACCGAATACTCCTAACAGTAGAGGCCATTGCAATTCGCTTATATCAACCGAAACTCTGAATGCAAAAGAAACAGGTCCAGTCAGGTTCTACTGCTACTCCTGCCTGCTGTCGAGTCTAAACATCCCTTAATTCTGTGTTATATTGTTGCTTCCTTTAGTTCCCAGAGGAATATAGGGCTTCAGCCTTACATCTCGATTGCATTCGGTTTTCTGACAACATCTTCACCACCTGACTCCACGTCCGCCCACGTGCTTTCATCTCCTCTTCACATCACCTCCTCCTCCATGTAACCCTTGCACTGACGACCAACTCACCGCTTCCTGTTCGGGTTCCACTCGAGCGATGACCTGGCATGTGATGTCACTTGGTGGTTTTCTCAGCGTATAGGCTCCAACCCACCTATATCCATTTCTTCCTGCATATTTGTTGCACAATTGGTTCCTCCTGGGTTGGTTGGTTGGTTCGTTCATTGGCAAAGATCCCTGTTGCTGATCTTTTCTGGCCGGCGATCTGATATTGACTATTGAGCAGAGACAGCTAATGATGAAGGTGTGTAGTTTGTTCGAAGTGCCCTTCGTGACGCGGCGCGGTGCCAAGTCTTTGATCCGTACATATAGTAAGTAGCACTGACTTCATATTGGAGTTGAAACTCCGGATCTTATTTTCATTTTCATGCTGAGTGCTGCTGATAACCACACAGACTTGAGAGTAATGAAAGTTTGACGTGCTATGCCGATCTTCGCTTTGACATAATCCTCAGTTCCGTCCGCCTGTATTTTATTTTTTCGATTACAGCTTGATTACACACCGTATCTTTGGCACAAGTATGGAATTTTCAGCATGGATATCGGTAGCCCAAACTTTGCAGGCCAGCCCCATAAATATCAGGCGTGCATCGACAGAGGATCGAACCCCGGACCACTGTAGTTGAAACGATACTTCTATGGTAGGTAGATAGGTAGGTAACAAAGGTTGCTTCTTTCAGATTTCTCCCATTTATCCTGGCTGATTGTTGTCTATTGTTGTTGCTGTTGGCCAGGAATCTTCATCACCTGTGTCTTCTCTATGTTCACCTGAAGGAAGTCCTATCTTCTCTGGATGCTTCTTCTACCACCAACTTGTTGTAACTAGGCAAGCAAACGTAGCGTATCAATCGAAAAGCGCGTCAAGGTCGTTTTTTCAAATTCCGTGTTACTTCCCTTAATTCATCTGTTATATTCAGTTTAGTGTTGTTAATAACAATAATAATGCGTTAACTGTCATGAACATATAAATTGAGAACTCGATGACGAATTTATTGAAAAGAATAATCTTTGTTTATATTATTTAATCAGTGTTTTCGTTTTCTTCAAACTAATAATCGATGAGGACTACCAGGTGTATGAAACCTTTATAATCTTGGCCAGCGTCTATAATACTCTTTTAATTAGGCCACATTTTACCCTATACAACCTCAAGTAAGGGAAAACGACTTTCGGAAATCTTCTGACACGGCTTGACTGTACAGCCTCCCTTCAAATATGTCCAAACACTTTTGAATATTCACTCCCCTCTACACTGATTCACCACTAGGGAGAGCAACCAATGTTAGGGTTTTAGTCCCTTATATTGGTACTAACTGAATCCTAACAGGGATATTTGCAACACACGGACGACAGAGCTCGGTGACCCGCGATCACAGTATGCTTATAAATTGATATTAGGTAAATGGAGGCAGTTGGTAGTACGTTGTACATCCAGTTTTATTGATTGTTGGTTGGCTAGCCATCACCAAAGCGTGTGTTTGCAACCTCGAAGGAATTAAGATGTCCACCCGTGCCACTTAATGCTGAAATCGGAGACATCGCCATTGAGTTGTTTCGCGCTCACCATTAACCTCCTCTCTAGGACTTTGATCGATACATAGAAAGTTCACTACTACCTGGCAACTAAGGTCATGTATTCAGTCCCTTGTGTGTTGGTGAATTCTTGAATTCTTTCAGTCACCTACCTCATCTGTCCATCACAAACATGCCCTAAAACATTCTTCAATACACAGAATAGTTTAATGCATAATATATACACTAATATTTCAAAAGAAGGTATGTGAGAAGGTCACAACTAACCTTCATACCAAGTTTGGTTACCTGTTCGACCGCGGAATCCAACCGACGAATTAGAATCCGATCTTGAAGCCGATGATCTACCCGACTCAATATTTCGACCACGATGTTTTCCAGCTCCCCAATAATTACGATTGCGACCACCACCACCGCCACCAGCACCAGCTCCATATCTGGCACCACTAGCAGCTGTATGATAGGCGGAATGAGACCGAGCAGACCCTGAGTCAGAATCAGAAGAACGCGAATTACTATCCGATGAATGTTGACTGTCATATCTACGTCGACGTTTCGGTGATCTTAAGAATGGTTTCATAGCTTTTGCACAAGTTTCTTTCCAGGATAAAGCAACAGATGCCAAAGATGAAATATTTGAAGATGCATTAGAGCTACGCGAAGAGCTTCGTGATGAAGAGGAAACAGACGATGATGAAGATCGAGAAGAGTAATTTTGACTGCCACTACGACGACGTTGATTTCCACGTCCACGATGGTGTTTTGTAACACGTCGTCGCCATTCTGCAGTTTCTGCTGCACTTGGAGTAATAAGATCTTCTGGAAGATACCGGTGACCAGTTAATTCTGTACGCCCAATAATATACGCCTGATAATAACATGGCCATCTAGAAAATAAGAAAAAAGTAGGCAATAAGAAATCATAAGTTGGTGAGAAAAGAACATGACTCAAATAAGTAAATTCCGACACCTGTAGTCGAATGGTTAAAGGTATACATAAAGAATAAGATTACACGATGTACGACTTTCTGGACACGATATCGCTAGCTGTTAGGATAGAGCGAGGATTCCAAGTGTAATTGTTGCCACCAGTGCAAGATTCTTCATCAAAATGTTGGTATTTATGTGCTTTTTTCATAAATCCTACTGCTCACACATCAGAACATTTCATGTATAATGTAAGTGAAATGTTTTTTTTGATGTGGTTTTGTTCTCTGAGCTGGATAGTTAGTTTGCGAAGCTTTCATCACCTTACTGGGTGACATCTTCAGCGCATACTTCAATTTGAAGTATGCGCTGAAGATGTCACCCAGTAAGGTGATGAAAGCTTCGCAAACTAACTATCCAGCTCAGAGAACAAAACCACATCAAAATTATCCACCTGAGCTACAAATCTTCTCTATCATATGTAAGTGAAATGATATTACGCCTCGAGAATTATAGTAGAATGAGAGATGTCTGTTATCTATTTCCAATGATATAATATGGTGAGCAGTATTCGACATCTACTTATCCTCTATCAAATGCAGCAGGATGATGATTCAGGGCGGGTCCGAACTGGCTCGCAGATTGAAGTTGTTAAGCGTGGTGGGAGTCCCACCGGCTTCAACCTAACCTTAACTCAATTCAGAGACTCAGGGATTGACTTCTTACCGTAAGGGAACAATCTCGTTGACTTAGAATATGCAGACGATATACTCCTTTTAGGCAAAGACGCTGACAAAATAGGGCAGAGTCTTCTGAATATCTTGAGCTACAATCTACGAAGGTTTGGCATGAGATTCGCCCCCGCCAAATGTAAGATGTTACAGGAATGGACTGCACTGTCTCCTAGTTTAGAAAGAGGGAGTGAAGTGGTAGAGCACGTTGACCGCTTCACTTATTTGGGAAGTACCATCAGCCAGTGCCAACGGGTTGATCTCTGACGAAATCTCAGCTGAGTACAGATACAGAGGGCTAGTTTCGTGTATGCCAGTTTACGCCGTCTCTGGCTTAGTAGACGTGATATGCGACTATCAACCAAAGGGCGGGTGTGCTGCTCACCAGTCCGCTCCGTCCTCCTTTATGGTTGGCTGTGAGACCTGGCCATTGAGAGTGGAAGACATGAAAAGACTAGTTGTCTTTGACCATAGATGCCTGAGCTCTATCTCCTGTGTGAAGTGGTATAATGAGGTGAGCGATATTGAGGTTATGCGTCGAGTACTAGATAAGGAGGGGAAATCAATCGAAGAGGCAATGAAATTACATCGACTGAGATGGTTAGGACATGTGTTACGCATGCTAGCCTAGCCAACGCCTTCCTCGACGGGCGATATTAGCTGACATAGGATTGATCAGGCTGGAAAAGAGCTAGCGGCGGTCAAACCAAAACGTGGCACCAGTTAGTGAAATCCACAACAGTTAGTTTAAGCCACGTAAGAAGGTGTAGACTTCCTGGTTGGGTCCTCAGGACGGTAAGAACCAATGGTTGGAAACAATTGGTGACATGGCTGTTATGTACTGGTCGAGAATTTAATAGTCCTGATGCAAGAAAGACGGAAATCAGAAGACCACTAGGTTTGCGATGATACTTCTATTTTCCAAAACACGAGGAGAATCAAAATGTCACACAAGTGTGTGAGAGCAAAATATATGAATGTCCGAAAGTGTGTGAACACAAGCGTGTGAGCGAATATTCTAATTGAACAAATCAATAGACAGTCTTAACATGATTGGCTAATTATAATGGATATCGATCCATATATACATGCAAAATATATCAGACTGTCAAACAAAACACACATGTTATATGGACACATGTCACCAAGAACAGACTGTCAAACAAACACACATATTATATGGATATATATCAATGGCTCAAAGTGATCGTTCTCAATGGCCAGTGAAACTGTATTGTTCGTCGTTATTACTATTTCTTTGTCTCACACCTCTGTTTACTGTCTCTATTATGCATTTCTTCTACTTTCTTCTCTTGCTTTGCGTATTGAGTGAAGTATGGCGACTTAAACTGCTGCACATCAGCGCAAAGTTCTCTGTCGAAAACAGAGAGACAGACAGAACAAGCTGATCGATCACTGATGAAATCTCACCACGGATACAAACAGCTTGTGAGGTATTTGTCGACCTATATCATCTCTGGTGTGATATCCGACCATCGATCAAAGGACGCGTGTACTGAGTACTAGTTCGCGCTCTGTTCACTTTTATGGCTGCAAGATATAGACACTGAAAGTAGGAGATATGGAGGGAGACAGAGTCTATATGTTCTCTAATAACACCTATCTGCGTTCTTTCTCCCGTGTTAAATGGAATAATATAGTGAGAAATACTGAGGTTAGATATATAGAGTATTAGGTAAGGAGGGTTGTGAAGCTACATCGATTGAGATGGCTAAGACATATGTTACGCATTCCAAGCCACCGAATACCTCTCGATGACCAATGTTAGCTGACATAGGGTTGTGTTAGAAAAGAGTTAAGAGTGTGGTCAAACCAGAAGCTAGAATTAGTCAGTAAAATTTTTGACAGTTTGAGTCAGTCACACGCAGAGAGAGAGAGAGAGAGAAGGATGGACTGTATGATTGAAATCCTCGTGATATTAAAATCCACAATGGTTAGAGGACTTAGTAGTGACGAGGCAAAAAAAAGGTGAGTAAAGCAAAACGATGAATACAACACTTACAAATAATCGTCTTCAAGAGATGTGTCAGATTTCTTCTCTGTAAAAGGTGCTGGCACAGGTAAATTCATACGCTTTTCTGCAAGATTCTTTTCTTTCGCCTTTAAGGCTTTGACACGTTCTAATCGCTGTAGACCGAAATAAATATACACACATACATATAAACATATTTATATTAAATATTAGAGAATTCAACATCACAATAAAATATTGGTAATATGTGTATACACACTGTTTAGGCTAAATTACACATTAAACGACTCATAAACTGGATTTATAAAACCAATAGTGGAATTTAACGCATTTCTAAAAGCAGAGAGTGCATCGGTGGCACAGAGGTTAGGACGCTCGCCGAGCATGCACATGGTCCAGGATTCAATCCCCGGCCACAGACGCACTCCTTTACCTCACCAAACCAGTCATAAAGCTGGTAAAGAGGAAAGGTTGGGCATGAGGCTAACAATCCCACCCCCAACCATCCTGTAAAAATAATCACCACTGCTACAGAAACTTCAAGCCTCTAGCTTGAATCCCCTTATGTTTCACTGGGAACGTGAAAGAATAAAAAGAAAGCAGAGATGAGAAAAGAACTAGGTGTGTTAGAGAACCAATGGAAAACTAAGAAGTTAGTGGACGGAGCATGTTTTCGCCTAATTTTTGGACGCTTCAATAGTGCATACCTAATGGGGTTCGAATCCAGGACCTCCATGTTACAAGGTGGCTTTGTAGGCCATCCAGACACTGAAACCCAATCCAACCCCAGGGTTCGAACTCTGGTGAGTGTGTACTGATGAGGAGTCCCAAACTAGGACGATGGCACTTCTAGTACTCTCTAGTTTTCAATGGTTCCGTAACTGATGCCAACTTGTCATCAAACCAGTAACCAGTCAAATCCTCGTAAACAAACCAACACGCTTGAAAAAAAAACAACTGTACAATGAAACGAATGTAGGGAAACTGAGAGATGGAAGTGGATTGATTAAAATCAAGCCGATAATTGACGCCTCAAAAGGGACTGTCGACAGGGAGTTTGCATACCTGTCTTTCGGCCGATGGGTCCCAAGTATGAATCCTACTCAGTCTAAATCAGTTTGTGTGCCAAGTGAGTAGTATAGTATGACCAGCCTTCACACACACATTAAGTATGGTTCACTGGATATATCTCAGGACGAGAGGCATACACGGAAAGTTAATAATGATGCTACATACACCAGTGATCACATCAACCAGCAGTGCCTGCTAGCCAGATCGTTGAGGCTTCTAAAAACAATGGATGACCGCTTCGCCCGTTCGGCGTCGAGGTCAACAGTGGTGTGTATCCGGTTTGACACAGCTCAGAGAAGCATCCAAACTGTTGCGAATTCGATTCAATAATATTACGAATTCGCGTGGGAGGGGGCTTGGGGGCGCTAGCTACAAAATTCACTTGGTTTGAACTGACTCACCTGTCTGTGAATTAAGCCAGAGCGAGTATATACATCACTGACGAACTCGGCCGCAAACGAATGAATCGGCCATCCGGCCATCTGGTTGACCAGTAAGCACTACTTGGTTGGTATGAATGCCATCCAGTTATTCATACCAATCAATCAATCAATCAGTTATTAGTTCATAGTATCATGCGTTTAATCTTGCCTTCTTGAGTGGTATTTATGTTATGAATCAGATCACGTGTTGTGACCTGAATAATTTCAAAATGAAACTGGTGAAGCGTCTAACCTCGAACTGTATAATTTACAAATAGCCGATTAATTCGCAAACTAAAAATCTAATTCAGCGTTACCAATGACCTTTAACTAACTAATCCGAAACACCTAACTTGTGATTCTAGATAAGGAAGTCCAGCGAAATAACAATGATTTTATTTATTCTAATTGAATTTTTTTACTTTCCCGTCGATTGATTGAACCGAAGTGTTTGGTCTCACGTTGACATGTCGGCTTCTTGTGCAGATGCTTCGACGATGTCTAGGCATTTAATTAGTATTTAGTTGGTTGATGATGACTAGCAGTGGAATCGAGGATGCTCATTTCACCCTATTTAGGACTCGACAGCTAGTGGATGTACCTGCATTTCCCAGTGAGTGATGATGTTCCCACCGAGGCTCGAACCGAGTGCCCATAGTTTCAAACACCAAAGCGTTATCCACTAGACCACTTGGGCAACGAGAGTCATATTAATTTAATTGCATTTTTGATTTTCCCGTCGA